AGAATAGAATAGAATAGAATAGAATAGAATAGAATAGAATAGAATAGTGATTATGCTTATGATCTACTTTGGGGAATGAGAAAGGTAGATGAGACCTTAATGAAATTTACAGATTACATTTTCTGATTTTTCCTAATTTCAACTAAATCATAGTCACTCTATAGCAGTTTAAAAATGTAAGGGGAGTAGCCTTCTAATGGCATCATCAGTTGTACAGTTTGGTCCTCTTTACCTCCATTGCTTTGCAGTAATCTTTGCCTTAAAACTGTTATGTTTAATCAATTTTCTAAAATATGAAAGCTGAATATACTATTGTACCATTGAGGTGAGATATGGTATCGGGAGATAGTCTGATCATAGTTTCTACATGCATATAGAATATAACTGTGATTTTCAAATTTATGCTTCAGACTTCTTTTTGACTAAATACATTTTGCATAGCATGTAGTTTGGCATGTTGTGATTCCAAACGCAGTTCTCAAGTCACAATGGCTGTAGGAATTGATGACAGATGCTATTTACAAATATTCTTGTGTCCATAGGCTTGTTAAGGGGAAATGTTGGCTTGGTCTGTTTATGGTTCTTTTCCAGAAGATTTTAGCTTATGTATCTTTAGCTTTTTCTCAGGTTCCTGTATATGCTTAGCATGACAAGTGGTCCCAGATTTCTAATTCTTACTACATGGAATTTTTTAAAAATCAGCTAAATCCATCCACAGTTTCAAACAGGTTTTGTCAATCTAAGCAAAAAAATATCCAGCTCGGTCAGCCGCTCCGTACTGGTCATATTGGCTGGTGATGATGAGCATTGTAGTCAACATATCTAGGGAGCCCCAAGTTGTATAAGGTTTGATAGGGTAAACAAACAGACTGATTGATAGACAATAGTTTTCTGTGCTGTTTCCTCTACACAAATCTCTTCATTAAACCCCTGTGGGATTTACTGAAGCCTAAAAATGCCTAATAGCCATTCACTGGATTGGAAGTTTAAAGATGTAGAATTTCTGCTTGCTCGTATGCATATACATGAATATATTTATGCAATCCATGTAATTAACTTAAAAATAGAAAAAGGCCTTTTTTCCATACTGCATTTATACTTTACAATAGAAACCTGGAAGCTGAGGACAGGTGCTTGTTCAAACACTGCCATGCAGGTATTCCATGTCTGTTCTTTATTGATTTCATAAAAATAGCATTAAAGTGAAGTGACTTAGCAGGTGTCTTGTTCCACCCATGACTGCACATGCAGGGGACTGAATGGGGTGTTTTCAGCATGCAAAATGTGACCTCTACCACTGTGTTTTAGCTTTGGGTTACTAACACCCTGAACATAACTCACTTAGCTAGCCATGTTTTTCTACTTAACTGTATCTGAGGCTTCTTCATGACCAAGATAAATTGGAATGAGTGCTGTGGGTAGCTGAACCACAAAAGAATACCATTCTTAAGGTGATTCATGTCTTTTTGATTCTTCTTATAAAAGGGGAGATTGTTCTAACTGATGAAGTTTGAGGATAGCCAGGAATTATAGAAGGTTAATTTTAAAAAAGAACAAACTAAGGTTAAATAAACAATGAGGAAATGTCTGAGAGGGGAGAAATCTATGCCCTTTGAGATCAGTGGGGATATATTTCAACTTATTTCTCAAGCCATCAAAATGTATAAATGTTTGCTCAAGAATGGAAACTGATGGCAGCTCCTAAAATCATTTACAAGAACTGAATTTTTGTGCAGATCAGCACATCTTTTCAAAATGTAGTGAATTTTTCAATGCCCTTTTAATTCTTACATTATACTCTAATTGTACTTTATTCTTTATTAAGGATAGCAATAGCAATAGCACTTAGACTTATATTTTACAGCCCTGTCTAAGCAGTTTACAGAGTCAGCATATTGCTCCCAACAATCTGGGTCCTCATTTTACCAACCGTGGAAGATGGAAGGCTGAATCAACCTTAAGCCTTGTGAGATTTGAACTGCCAAATTGCAGTCAGCTGGCAGTCAGCAGAAATAGCCTGCAGTTCAGCACTCTAACCACTGTGCCACCATGGATTAGGGACATTCAGGGTTCTTCCTTGATTATGATCACATGAAGGTTGGTCTATCTAAATATTTAAAACAGAAAGGAAAGAAGCCAAGAATCAAAATAGGCTTTTGTTTTAACATGGTTACAATTTATTTTTATTTCACATATGCTTACTTCAACTATAGTCTGTGATAGATGGGATATAGCCTGCTTTACCAATTAAGCTGGCTTCTTACACTTCTGTCTCCAACTAGTCTAAGGGAGAGTTCCAAGCAGCCTTGGTAAAACTATCAAAAGTTTTTAAGAATTCAATTTAGCCCTAGGAAATAAATATTAACACTTGCTACTCAGTATTGGATTATGATTTTGGTTGCAGGATGCAAGGACTAAATCAAACATTAATCTGTCAAGCTACTGTCTGTTGATGAACAACTTCAAGATTTCTGCTGTGCCTTTTCAGGACTATTTATTTTAAAATCAGATTGAATACAAATAAGCAACATTTCAAATGGAATATTGTTCTTTAGCTGCCGTGTAGCTGGAAGGCAACTTTTCTGTGAAATTGGACATAGGGCTCCTATATCTCAGTAAAGCAAAATATTATAGCAGCCTTCCACAATCTGACACACTCCAGATGTTCTGGATCCAACAATTCCCAAAATTCCCAGCCTGCCTCAGTATCCATGCTGCTGGGTATCCTTGGAGTTTCACTTCCAATTAAAACAAGAACTGCCAGATCAGAGAAAAGTAAATTATAGTACTATAGTGAAATTTGGAAATTTTAAGAAATATAATATGCTACATCACCAAAGCCTACATGTTTTCAGCATATATGATGATAAAAGAAATGATCAGAGTAGTTCATCCTTTATTTATTTTCCTCAGAAAGAATAGAACCTGCTTGGGATTTTAGATACTTATATATCCTGATAATATTTGGCATTTAGTATCCAGTTCATTACATTCCTTGTTCCATAACAGGGTCATTCCGCCCAGAAGGATTTTAAATGTATGAATCCAAGATTAAGATCATTTTTATTTTAACAGTTATAAAATTGTACCTTCAGAAAAATATTAATCTAATCACAACATCTCTGGCATAATAAAGACAGGAAGCTAGTATCAGAGGCTTCAGAGTTCTTAAATATTAGTTAAGATGCAGTAACTCTTATAACAGCACATTTGTAAAATAATTTATTCTCCTTGAATGTAAACCATATAAATATAAACCATATCAATGAATTTGCAATCTGACAAAAAGAATTAAGTGAACAGACTCATCCGAAAGAGACTGTCTGGCATATTGGACTAATTAGGCTGTAATTCTGTAATTTAAATTGAGAAGCTTCCACCATTACAATTTTGTTTTAAAATGTGCTGTGTCAGTAAAAAAGCTTAGATAAGTTTGGCAAATTGGGCAATTTTTATTGAGACTGAGGAAGAAAGAGTAAAATTTATTTCATGCCAAATATTATTTTGATGGATTAAATGAAACTGCTACCAAAACAGATGGAACAGTTTGAAAAGGCAAACTTCTTGGACATATTGGTCTCTGAGAAGAACAGTGTTTGCTAGCTGAAACCATCATAGGTGTCCAGTTGCTAATTTATGGGGCACTGATGAATATAGAGATTTAAAATTTTCAGAAATTTCAGAGCCACTGGAGGAAGTGAGTCTTATCTCTTGAGAAGTTATTTTACTGTCATTTATAACTGTCTTAGTGTTTCAAATTGAATTATAGGTCAACATTATAAAAAAGCAACTTCTTGATAAGAATTTCATTACCCTTCTGGCTGAGAATGTTGAGGTTTGTAGACAGAAACACCAGGGGGCCATATGGTTGGTAAAGGCTCTTCCAAATACACAAAAGTACATTGTATTATGAAAAGGAATTGTCCTTTGTCCTGCTTAATTTTTCTCTGCAATAAGAGCATAGAAGCAGAAGAAGGATTCTGTGGAAATGAGCCAATTATTCATCTAATCCAGCATTTTGTGTTGTCTTGTGGAACCAGACTGCATTCAGAATTTTCATAAACAAGTATCCCTTTTCCATTGTTGCTTCCTAGCAATTGATATTTGTGTGCTGTGATTTAAAAAGTATAAAAATATCAAAACTATAGCTGTTGATAGAATAGCATAGCAACGATTTTTCCAATCTCCTTTAAAATATTTCTAAATTAGTAGCCATCACCAATCTGATAGCAGGGAACTCCACAGTCTAATTTATACATCACATTAAAAAATCTAATAGATAAGCAAATAAGCATTTACCTCTTTTAATCAGTCCCATGTCTTCCCATATTTAATTCAGGGGTGATCTCATAGTGGTCTCTTGTATTTATGCACATGGATTTCCCTCTACAACACATTGTCTTCCAAAGGTCCTTTTTCAAGAGGCAACAGGACTTTCTTCTTTTTCTTTGAAGACGTTTTGTTTCTCATCCAAGAAGCTTCTTCAGCTCTGGTGGTTGAGAAGGGAAACGTCTTCAAAGAAAAATCAGAAAGTTCAGTTGCCCCTTGAAAAAGCACCGTTGGGATAGCCATGACCTGGATGACTGAGAATCCCCGTAGAAAACATGGTGCCTCCAAATAAATTCTGATTAGGAGGAAATGTTGGTATCTCTTACAGACCAGGTCTTAGGAGAGTATCAGCCATATCTTATGCAAGAGCTGGTAGTGAGCTTTTCTCCAAATGTAGA